TGGCGCGGGCCGAGAGGCTGCGAGAGGGGTCGTCTGCAGGGTTCAACTCTGATGCAATCCATCGGACCACGAATGAAGTATTTGAGAGAATAGGAAGACACAGTAACTCCTGACATGTTCGATTCAGCAGTGGGGATGTCGAACGCCCCTTTCCCGTAGCTAAGACCACAGACATATTGTCGCACAGAAGCAGATGACGGCGACCGAAGCTGCTGACGTTTCGTAGCTTGTGTCGGGCCCCCATCACCAGGGCCCGCCCCTCCGCCCGCATGATATTCTCCGATGAGGCGAACCGGCCGAACAAAACGGTGGACCAGGTGTCGAAATCCCCGATCTGCCCCCCATCGATGTGGAAGAAGTCGGTGACCCCACGGCGGGCTCTCACTTGGGAAATTCGAGGCTTGGAGGGGCCTTGAGGGACCAGCCCGAGACTCTGCTCCCGGGCGCAGATGGCATCCTCGACGCAGTACCTCCACTTCTCCGCACGGCTGGCCACGGCTCGAACTGCCTCCGAGTCCCAGGCCCGCTCGCAGACGCCGAAACCCCCGAAGTCGAACTCGGTGGCCCCGGAGGCGTCGGAGGCCATCACGCACGGGTCGAACGGCCTCTTGGTGTCGACAGCGGCGAACGGCAGAAGTGCTGCCGCGATCCGCAGCTCCCGAGTCACACAACTCCAGAGACGCCACCGCTGCTCCCCGGCCATTCCACAAAAACGGAAAGCGCTGCTGAGGATAGACAAAAGCTCACGTTTCAGCAAGAAGGCCCAGGTTAAATGGCCCAAAACCTGGCGCAGCTGGACCCCGGTGCACCAGCCCTGACGGCAGAGCTCCAAGTGCCCCAGGCGAATTTTCCACAAGCGCCGGGTCGAAAGCGAAATGATTCCAGAGCTGCGTTCGAACGTGAGGCCTGTGACAGACTGCTGTTCAGACGCCCCGACCATCCCTTTGCAAACCAGACCACGAGATCCCAGGAGCTCGACGGCGGACGCGCATCCGTCCGAGCAGCACTTTTCGCTGGTACCGAGGAAAGCGACCCCGTCGACATACACGGCAGCAAGAGGCCCTTCCTCGAGGCCGGCGGCTGCCCGTCTATCCTGGACAAGTCTGGAGGGGGGGAGGCCGGAGTCAAGAACAGCTTGTTCCACCATACACTGACAGAAGTATAAAGACCAAGACCACCCCATGGGTAACACGCGGAGGACGGGCGAAAGCTCCCCAACCCCGCGAAGCTCCCCGGAGCTGCCTGGGCAAAGTGCCTCGAGGTGACGACAAGAGACAGGAGGGAGGACAAAATAATCTTCACTCCCTGCGGGCAGGCCGATCCGATAGAAAGCATCGTCAACGTCTGCCTGGCACAAAGAGAGCTCGCATTGATCTGGCACATACAAAGAGTTCCATGCACTAGCCGTGGGCAACTGAGAATACTCGGGCGAATTGAAAAACTCGTTGCTACCCCTAGTATCGAATATCAGCCTCTGCCTGACGCCGTCACTCTTCCACACGAAGAACACTCCCAAGGTCGCGTCGAGGCGGCCTCTCAGGTTCACCAAACCGGCGGCCTGGAGGTCTAACACGAACTGGGCATAGGTACCCTTCGCACGTAGTCGACTGTCGACGTGGGGCTTGAATTTCTGCACTACCTCCCGGCTGACACCGGGCCGCAAAAGATGCTGTCGCCACTCCTTCCAGAAACTTAAAGCCGCACCGCCGAGGCACCGGCCCCCCTCGGCCAGGACCCCGCCGGTCGGCAGCGAGACGAGGTCTCGCTGGTAAGGAGCCGTCTTCACCGGGTCGCCATACCCGGGCCTGCTCCCGCACAGCTCACTGCAGGCTGCCGCGGGGCTCACCTCCGGGGCACCGAGTCGCTCCCAACCACGTCGGAGATGCTCGACACCACGGACCTGAGCGAGAGAAAGTTGGTGCGAGACCTGGGCCTCGCCGCGGTTGTACAAAAGGTTGAGGGCGGTCACCGACTCACGCACGCGCTCGTCGACGAGGGTCCGGCGGAGGACCCGGCTGCGGACGCTGCGGCTGCAGCGGCCAGCGCCAGGCGGCTCGCGCGGGGCCGAGAGGGCGGCCAGGTTGATAGGCAGCAGCTCGCGAGCGACCACCATCCCAGCCAAGTAGCCGGCAGGGCACGCCCAGGGGCGGCCCGGCCGGCGGGTGGCGCCTGTGGGCTACTTGCCCCCGCGGCCGCCACCGCGGCCGCCTCCGGCATCGCCCTCCTGCTGGCCGCCGCCGCCTCCGCCGCCGCTGCCACGGCCCGCCTGGAGCCGCTTGAGCTCCGCCGCCTGCTGCTGGATCTTCTGCTGCAACGAGCCCTTGTCGTCGCCGCCCCTGCCTGCGCCGCCTCCGCCGCCGCCGCGAGAAGAGATGGCCCGCTCCTCGCGAAGCTTGCGCCGCTCCTTGAGCACGCCCGCCTCGCGGTGGAGCTCGGCCGTGATGTAGTCCTAAAACTCCGGCGCGATCATCAGGTGGCCGCGCGTCTCCGAGGTCCCCATCATGAGGTAGTCGTCCTCGGCCCCGTCGATGCCGTCGGGCCGGCCAATGGCCCTCTCGCGGTAGCGGTGCTCGATGAGCTGCGCCCGCCTCGCGATGTACTCGAAAGAGGCCAGCTCGCTGACGTTCAGCTGGTCGAAAGACATGGCTACGTCGAACACGCGCATGCACAGCTCGTGCTCGGCAACGCCGGGGTCGCTGGATGAGAGCCCGGTCTCGTGCCTCCACTTCGTGTGCCGTGCCCGCGGGTGAGCGTCCTGGTCCGCCAGGAACCGCAGGCACCAGCGAGTGGTGCGCGGACCTCGTCTCGCTGAGGAGGTTGACGTCATCCTTGAACAGACGGCGCCGCTCTCCCTCGGAATTCACCTTGATGCTGAGCACCCGGGCGTCTAAGTCCCCGTCGCCTCCGAGCTCGTCACGCTTCACCACTCTCACGACATGCGCCTCCGAGCCCATCAGCACGAGCCCGAAGCCACCTGCGACTGCGTACCCGTCGGTCGCGCCGCCGAGAAACTCCGTGCGCGCTGTGTCCGAGCCCGTCGTGGCGAGGATCTCCCAGCAGTGCCCGTCGGGCGGCGTCGGCAGGGCCCCCTCTGAGACCTCCATGTTAGTCGGAACCTTCGCTGCTCCATCCCCTGACGGCGTTCCCGATGCTGGCAACGGCTGTTTCCCACGGAGCCGCCGGCTCGGGGGACCGTTGGAGAGAACCTCGGGGCGGCAGAACTGCAAGGCTGCTACGTAGTCGAGCGGCGTCGGCTCCCAGTCGGCGCCGTACACCGAGTGTCTCCTCCGTAACTTCTGGCCTTCGGACGTGGAGTCGATGGGCTGGCCCATCTTGTCGAGCACCACCACCCCAGCCAGAGGCCCGACCGCTAGGAGGTGCGGATAGATGTCCCCGTCTGGAGTGAGACAATAGAAGCACTTCGTCACTAGAGCTGGAGGTACTGGGTCGCCGACGACGTCGGTGTACTCCCCGGGCGGGCACTCGCAGATGATGATTCTCACTTGCCAGTCCCGTCCGGCCTGCCACAGGACGCCGACACGTTGACCAGCCTCCATATCCCACGGCACAGCAGCAGCACCCCGCAGCAGCTCCGATCAGGAAGCAGAGGGCGCACAGCCCTACGAGGAAGCCCCGCAGGCTGCCCGTGAGCTCCGAGAGGAGGAGGCACCCACCCGCGTCCTCGTGCCCTGGTATCAGCACCTGGACTGCATGAGGCAACTGACTGAGGGCGAATGGCAAGGCTTTGGCACGAAGGAAAGAGATGACCCCCATGCGCCGCCCTCTGAATTAGACTTGAGCCGCAACACCAGCGGCCGACAAGTACGCACGCCCAGCAATGTACTTCGGAGAAGCTCGCTCGGAGGAGGATGCAGGACGAGAAAGAGAAACAGGAAGAGGAGGAGGAGGCAGAGGGGGAACAAGACGATGATGATGATGAGGAGGAGGAGGAGGAGGAGGAGGAAGAGGAGGAGGAGGAATGCCCTAGGAGGCCCCAAGAAGTCCTGGGAAGCCCAGAAGGCTCCAGGAGGCCCCAAGAGGCCCCAGGAGGCCCCAGGAGGAGGCAGGAGACCTAAGGAGGATGCCGGAGGAGGAGGAGAAGGAGGAGGAGGAGGAGGAGGAAGATGGAGACGAGGAGGAGGAGGCGGAGGAGGGAGAGGGAGAGGAGGAGGCGGAGGGAGAGGGGAGGAGGAGGAGGAGGAGGAAGAGGAGGGAGAGGGGAAAGGAGGAGGAGGAGGAAAAGGAGGAGGAGGAGGTGGTGGAGGAGGCAAGAGAAAGAGGAGGCAGGGGTTGAGGAAGGAGGAGCAGGCAGGAGGAGAAGGAGGAGGCAGGAGTTGGTGGGAGAAGGGAGGGGACAGGAGGAGATCCCCAGGCAATTGAATCCGAATTCTCATGTGGGGTCCTACCGTCGGAATAATGGACCAGGAACCCTTGGATAAGGAATCCAGGATCTGAAAGCTGGTGTAATACCAATTGAGGCTTGACAATGAATAGCATCGCCGCCCTAATCAGATAAGGAATTCTCCAGGGTCTGAAGCCTACTCGGCACATTCCTTAACGAATGCCCCTGCCGTAATTGTGGGAATGCCCGCCAGTTTCTTGCTCGCGCGTTCCCGCGCGCGCGCTTACAGAGGGCGGGGACAGCATAGTAGGGAGTTGGAGCGCACACGCACACACACACACAGACACACAGACACACAGACACACACACACACACACACACACACACACACACACACGCGCGCGCGGAGGCCACGCGTTTGGTATAGATGCGAAAGACCGGCGTATCTGTCCACACGAGGGCCGAGAACGGTAAAAAGACTCAGCCGTGTGTTCAGCTCTCGCCCAGACTGGCCACATGATGTGCAACCGACCTCCTAGTAGAATGACGTAGCTGAAATATGGAGCTTGAGATGCGGAACTCCGGCCTAGCAACGGGAGAGAGGGAGAGAGACAGAGACAGAGAGACAGAGAGTGGACTAAGGGGTGAGCACACCTGGTCGGGCGAGGTGCGACCTGGGCGGATCTGCTGGGTCGGCCGCGCGCGCTGCCCTGACGACCGAGGGCCTCACCGGAAGCAGTGCACAGGTGGCCGAGGCCTTCCGCCGCGGCACCTCCAGAAGCACCTGGAAGGCTGGCCCGGGCCGAGAGCACACTCCGGGGACCCCGTGGCGCAGGAGCCATCGGGGAGGGCCGGAGCGGCCGCGGACATCTTTCCGAAGGCTCGGATGCTCAGAGATCCTGCGCACGCTGCACTTATCCTAGCGAGCTGCGCGCGAGCCGCCGCCTGCCCCCCGCGTCATGGCGGCTCGCGCCGCAGCAGCTGCTGCCCCCTCGCGGCCAGGCTCACCCAGCCCTCCCGAGGCCCGTCCCCCGACAGCTTCCGGAAGCACAGCCTGTCACCCCGCCGCTCCACCTGCTCCACGCGGGCGCCGCGCATGAGTCGCAGCGGCTGGGGCGCCGAGCCGAGGCCGCACCCGTCCCGCACGAGGATGCCCTTGCCGCCCGTGCCCCCGACGACCAGCCACGCCGAGGCCCCGCGCGGGTGTGGCAGCGCGGCCGCCCCGCCGGGGCCGCCGAGGCCACGGGAGCTTCCTGGAGCCGCGCCTGTGCTGGCCTCCTCGGGCTCCTGCAACGGGATCCGGGAGCGGGCCGGACTGCGGCTGGCGCCCTCGTGCCCCGCACCCTCCTCGAAGCATCGCTCTTCACCGATCATCGTCGCCATTTAGTGGCATGGCGTTGGCCCCACTGGCCGACCTACCCCCTCCCCCAGATGGGGAAACAGGCTGCTCCCTTCGGGTTTCGAGGGGCCCATCCATCCCCCACTGGGGGGCGGGATGTGTTAGCGATGCGATCGATACCTAAGAAGAGAAACAAAAACAGCAGAACATCATAAGCGTTCGGAGGTCCGCGCGGATTTCCTGGATTGGCGCTGGGCCCCCTACCTGGCGCGCTCCACGCGCCAGGGGCAGCGCCGGGAGGCGCCGCCAGGGTGGCCCAGCGCCAACCCAAGAAATCCGCGCGGAGCTCCGAGAATTGATGCTTATGCCCCAAGATTCCCTCCTCGAGACCAACTCCTCACCCCTCTCCTGCCTCCCTCCCACCTCCGCCTGCTCGATCGCTTTTGCTTGCTTCCTCGCCATCCTCCTCAGCCCAGCGCAGACCCAAGAACCCCGCGCGGAGCTTTATGCCGCTGTTTGTTCACCGAGGATCCTCTCGCGCGAGGCCTGGCAACTCGCACAGCAGGCTCTCGAAGCGGGCCTCGTGGTGCCAGCCGCCGTCCGCCGGGTCCTCGCCCAGCACCCAGCCGGCCCGTGAGCGCAGAAGGCCTGCCAGCACCCCGCGGGCGAGGTCCTCCGCGTCGGCGCGCTGCGCTTCCTCGACACGCACCAGGCCGGTCTGCGCCAGCCTCCAGCGCGCCTCCCAGGCCTCCCGGAGCCCCTCGGGCTCCAGCTCGCCCTCCTTCGAGAAAGAGAACAAGTCATAAACATGTCTCTGGGAGGTCCGCGCGGATGTCTTGGATCGGCGCCGCCAGAGGCGCCGCCAGGGGGGCCCAGCGCCGATCCAAGAAATCCGCGCGGAGCTCCGACAGTTCATGTCTATGCCTTTGTTTGTTTTTCGAGGCCATCTCCTCAACCTTTTCGAGCTTCCCTCACTCCCCCGCCTGCTCGTTCGTTTTTGCGTTCTTCCTCGTCATACTCCTCGGCTCAGCGCCGATATGCCGCTTTCGCGTCTCATCATTATCACTGTCATTCTGTCTAACAAATGGCAACAGTAAGAATCATCATCATACTGATTAAAATGAAACAACCAGTGATAATATAATACTGATACGAATCCGGATACGAACACAAATTCGAACACTACGAATAAGACGAATAAGACGAATACAAATAATACCTGTACGACCACTCTTCGGGCGTTAAGGAGGTTCGGGGGGGGGAGGAACCAACGTCTCACTCGATCGGTCTCACTATCGATATCACTATCGGTCTCGCTCGATCGATCTCACTCGATCGCATCACAATCGATCTCACTCGATATGCTTCTGTCGATCGATATCACAATCGATCTGACTATCGAACTCGCAATCGTTCTCACTATCGATTTTACCGTCGATCTCACAATCGATCTCACACCCAGTATCACTGTAGATCTCACGATCGATATCACAATCGATCTCACAATCTACGTCATCATCATCAGCATCATCGTCATCAACGTCATCAACATCATTATCATCAGGACACCATCATCATCACCATCACCTCATCACCATCATCATCAACATCATCATCATCACCATCATCATCATCGGGACACCATCATCGTCACCATCATCATCATCAACATCACCATCATCATCGGGACACCATCATGGTCATCATCGGAACATCACATTCATCACCATCTCATCATCATGAAAAACACCATCACCCTCATCATCATCGGGGAACCATCATCATCATCAACATCATCATCATCATCAACAGCATCACC